ATTTTTTTTTTTTTTTTATTATCAAAAAATTGATTCACTCACAATATTTTATCTATTTATTCTCACTAATTTATGATACTTTGTTTTTTTAGTAACTAAAGTTGTTTTTGATTTTAGTAAAATATTTCGACAATATAGTCCTAACTACATTTAGTAAAATTTACCAATTTTAAGTGGCAACTAGATATTCATACTTCTTTAGCAAGTAGCTTTTGTAAAATCCACGACAAGTAGGTGTATTCGTTTGGAATTTCGAGTGACATTTAAAGGCTATTCGAGATTTGAAATTTTTAAATTAGAGGAATCTTGTGAAATTTTAAATTTGGATGTGAGATTTGTAATGAGTTTTAGTATATGTTTATTTCTTTAGAAATTCCAAAAAATCTTAGAAAGTTTTAACAAATCTTAATCTCAAATAATTAAATACATCGGGACGAATACCAAATGAATATCTCAAGACTTTTGTAAGTCTTGAGAACTCTAAATTAAATTATACAATAATTTTCAAAGTCTTAAAAATTCTTCAAAATTTTTTAAAAATCTCAATTAAATACACACTTAAATTTAAAATAGCTATTTTGTAAAATCCACAATAATTAATTAAATTTAAATATTTCCCATATTATATACAACACAACAAGTAATTAAATTTAAATATTTCCATTGTATATACAAATCACAAACTCCTTTGCATCTCACTGTACAATTCATTCATGTTGTAATAAAATCATCCCATTAAATGACAAAAAGCAACTTCCGGAGAAAAATCGGCCACCGCCACATAACATAATCCCACGAAATTTATATATATATATATATATATAATTATTAGCTAATAGCATTTAGTAAAACCTATTTAATTTTACCTATGTGGCAATTTAACCCTTTTCCCTCCAAAAATCGTCACTTTTGATGTATTTAATCTTTCATTTAATTATTAAATAATCAACATTAATCACTTCAAAATTACAAAAATCATTTTAAACTTTTGACTATTGACAGTTGACCATATATATGTTTACCATATAATGTGATTAGATGTTATAACTGTGGTTAAATAGATAAACACAATTAAAAAAAAATAGATATTCCAACTCCTTTAATTGTAAATTTGGCCAGCAAAAAGGTGAAAGAAAAATAATTAATCATTATATGCATACAAATAACTCACAATACTTATTTGTGCAAATGCACAGGTCGAATACTAGTGACAACATAATCCTAAACCTCATCAACAAATTGGACCAATCAATCCTGTTAACATGGTGAGAAGAATCAAAATTTCAAACTTTTTTGCAGTTGCCTGACTGATAATGAGATCTGCTTTTGTTGTTGTTTATTGTGTTTTTGTGCTTATTTTCGTGTGTTTTATGTGCTTGAGTTTAGT